TCGGTGCGAATGCAACCCTTTAAATAGTACTGGGAAATAGTTAGCGCAAAATAGTACTGTACATTTAGTTCTGGAACTAAAGCGGTGCGAAAGGCCCTATTGTAAAGTGATACCTATTGGTCTTTATAGTTCTTTTGCACTTTAATCTGTGTAAAACTTTTAACTTTATACACGTTTCTGTATTGCTTTATTGCATTTAAATTTTGTTATTTTTGTTATTAGAAAAGTTATTAAACCTGTTATACTGTATTATGAGAGCACTTTTTTAAACTAAATTTGAATATCGTGATAATACCGTATACCGTGATAAAAGCATTAGCAATTAATCGCAACATGAAAATTTGATACCCCTACTTACATAACCTAATTATTACTCTTAACATACGCCCATTTTATTAGACAGACAATCTGATTATATGCCTTCCGGCAAGGACTTTGGGACTCGGTTAAAAGGGTGTTTAACACCACTGCCGGAGTGTTGCGAAACAGAAACTGTCAAAATGACAAAGTGATGGCGTCACGCTGGAACTTCAGAGAATCAGGTTGTGCTGCTTTGTGTCAAATACACAACACCACAAACACAATAGCGCCTACCGACCATATCCAGATCAGCTACACCAAATCAATTGTAGCCAAAGTCCCTCGAAATGTCACATCAGCTGTGAGGTTTAACAAAGCACACAAGAGTGGCTTGTGAAAGTGGATGAATCCACACAAAGTTTGGCCTGGTTTAGTGTGGCTCTGCCGAAGCTGGAGCAGGTTTGCGGTCTTTGTTCAGTTCTGGGCCTTCTCGAACAAGGTTGAATAGACCACATAACAGATTTATTATTAAAATGATAGATATTTTCAGTTCGTTTTCACGGTGAAGAACTGAATAAACTACGCGTTCTGATGTACGTTAACCAATTACTCGCTGTTTGTTTTTTACACGTATAAATGTGTGTGTGTGTGCTAGCAACGATACATTACAATGGTTGACTGACAACCTTGACGGGTCGTTTTAAGTTCTGGTTAACCAGCTTTATTAACAATAAAGGCTATTCTACATTTATTTACATTACCTCAAGCAGACAGTCAACAAACCGTGAAAAACCGTCATGACTGAGTGTAGAAACACTGCTAGCTAACCGTTACATGCTACATTCTGTCGACATATTAGATCTAACGTTAAATTAGTCGGAAACAGCTTGACTTGATTCAAACTACCAACACCAAACAAAAATAAATAACATATTATTAGTTAGTAACAGAAATGCTACTTTTAACCCAGATATTCGATATAAACAACGCTAACGCTAGCAGGCTAAAAAAAAAAACTTGGCTAATGTTGGTCATGTACGCACAAAGGTCTTACCTTCTGTATTCTCTTTAATGCCATGCTGCTTTACTGCGTGTACCGCCCCAGATTTACGCGATTATATTATGTGTCCGATATTATTGCTACGAAACAGCTCAGCAATACTGTGTTTCCCTGAGTAAAACGAACGTGAGCGGCGAGAAGGAGAGCCAGCTGTAGCACAGCAAGCTCACTCTTCCGGTGCGGAGCTGGGGGAAACAAAATAAAAGTCATTATGTATCATTTGCAAGAGCATTAGCAGGTCACAGTACTGTCAAAAAAGTATAAATTACGTAAATTAAAGACATTAAAGACGCAAACAAATACATAAAGGAAACGAAAAGAAAAAGGTGCAACAACAACAATAAACCTACAAAATAAAATAAAACAAATGTCTTTGGCACTGAACAAAATTTAGTGATGACATGATAATCCGTCAGACCTGAAACAACAAACTGGAAGCTAACCAGTCAGGTTTCAGGAGTGGTCAGTAAAGGAAGCCGTGCAGATTGCAAAAACTGATTCCAAATCATCAGTTCTTATTCTGCTGGATCTATCTGCTGCTTTTGACACTATCAAGCACCAGATCCTCCTGTCTGCCCTCTCATCACTGGGCATCACAGGGATTCCACTTCGCTGGTTTGAATCCTATCTCACTGGTAGGTCGTTCAGGGTGGCTTGGGGAGGGGAGGTATCCAAAGCACATCAACTGGTCACTGGAGTTCCTCAGGGATCTGTTCTTGGACCCCTCCTCTTCTCCATATACACTACATCATACAGGCACATAGCTTCTCCTACCATTGCTATGCTGATGACACACAACTCTATTTCTCATTTCAACCAGATGATCCAACGGTAGCTGCACGGATCTCAGGCTGCCTGGCGGACATCTCGGCATGGATGAAAG